CGTTACACGCGAGAAAGTAGGCTTTTTTTGTTAAATCCGTCCCCTGGCTATCGGGTCGAAAACACCCCTGACTTCCCCGAGAGCTAGCCGGGAACGATAGACCAGGGCGGCAAAAAGGCGGATCATAACAAATGGCGCCCAATTTAAAAACGAGTTGCGCCATAACAAATGGCGCCCAAGTTGAAACGAAAGGCATCGGTTTTAGACGGGGGGTCCAAGATACCCTGTCTGAGAGTGAGCCGGAGAGAGTAAGCACTCAGCTGGTCCGTGAGCCGGGAATAGACCCCAGCCATAGTAGCCGTTGAGGAGGAGTGTTCAGCAGGGGTCTCCAGAGTTGTGGTCCTGGTGTAGCCAAATGGGCTGCAGCCACGTTGTCCGACTCGTGGAGACCTCGGAGAGATTTGACGAGTGAATACCTCGAGTTGTGGTCCTGGTGTAGCCAAATGGGCTACAGCCACGTTGTCCGACTCTAGGGGTCCACGGATCGAATCGAAGGAGAAGTTCGGGGTCTCTCGAGTTGTGGTCCGTGAGGTGCCGACAGGGCATCAGCATCGTTGCCCGATTCGAGAGAGCCCAGGAAAACGAAAGAGTAAGAGGAGTTGGCACTCCGTGTGAAAAAAAGAAGCGGAAATTAATTGCGAGGGAAAAGGACTGGCAACCGTGAGTTGCAGTTGTCTCTCGTCTCGCCCAAAAGATTGTGTAGCTGCAAAGGAAGATTTGTCTTTGTATACGTTAGTGTTTTGTGTCAAAAGGTCGATTAAGGAGAAACCCAGAAAAAGTTTATTCTCGCGGGCTGAAGATCCTCGCTAGCATTGGATATAGACAATTTTAGAAGTAGGATTAAATACATAGGTCAGCGAAATAGCAATTTTTTGGTAGAGAAATTATTTATTTATTAAGTTTCGTATTTATTTAGGCGAATAAGTGTGAGGAGTGTTTATTTATTTATTTAGATTTAAAACTATTTATTTATTTAAAACATATATGTGATTTACTCGCATATTTATTTATTGGGCTGTTTATTTATTTATTTTCTCGTCGTCCTTCGGTGGTTTATGTTTTTTAGGATAGTTTAGATAGTTGAGAAGGCTTCAGTATATACAATTAAGTGGCCGTGTTTAGGTATATTTAGGCGAAGTAGGAACTGAAGTAAAGAGAGATTGGTGTATGAGTGATCCGGCGGAATTCAAAGGGTCAGGGAAAACGAGGCGAAGTCCGGAGGGTCAGAGAAGGTTCCAGCCATACAGGATGCCGACTACTAGGTCCCAGGACGGGAAAACCGGCACAAGACCAGAAAGGGCGGCGATGGGACTGGAAGATCCGGAAGAGGGGGCTGTAGGAGGCCACCCACAAAGTCACATAGACCTCGAGATACCCAGCGAACTAAGATCGGCCGTAAACGTGGCGATAGCTCAGGCTCAGGAGACGTATCGAGCATCGTTTGGCCAACAGATGGAAGCGCTCAGAGCCTCGATCCAGGCGGATATGCTCGAGTTCATGAAGGGGATAAACGCGGTAGTCGGCTCGCTGAAAGCGGAGCAGACACTCAGCGACGCGGACAAAAGAAATAGAGGATCACACAACACCAGTCTGGGCGGAGGTCCGCAGGAGATACCCGCGAACCAACAGGCACAACCGACACACTTGTTCGTGGACAACCGGACGTTGGAAGCCGAACAGCGACCGAATATGGAGCAGAGACCCGTTGAGGACTGGCTGTTCAACGTAAGGGGCCCGGGAGCACAGACAAATGTGAATAGGAGGCGTCCCAGTTACGGAAAGGCCAGGCAGGAGCCGGTGCAAATAAGGAGATGGGGACTGAGCTTTGACGGCGATCCGAAGGGGATGCCAGTATCGGAGTTCATATTCCGAGTGGAACATCTACAGACAGTGTACCAAGTAGCATCTGCTGAAGTATTGAAAGCTTTCCACACTCTGGTTACGGGCCATGCTAGAGACTGGTACTGGATGTATGTACGGACCGCAGGAGTGCCGGACTGGCCTAGTCTGAGATATGGACTCCAACAACAGTTTCAAGTGCGGAAGACGGAGTTCGAGCGGGAGCAGGAGCTCAGAGAACGACGGCAGCGACACGGGGAGTCGACAGACCAGTACATCCAGGAGATGCTGTTGTTGAAGTCGAGATTNATATTCCGAGTGGAACATCTACAGACAGTGTACCAAGTAGCATGGGCTGAAGTATTGAAAGCTTTCCACACTCTGGTTACGGGCCATGCTAGAGACTGGTACTGGATGTATGTACGGACCGCAGGAGTGCCGGACTGGCCTAGTCTGAGATATGGACTCCAACAACAGTTTCAAGTGCGGAAGACGGAGTTCGAGCGGGAGCAGGAGCTCAGAGAACGACGGCAGCGACACGGGGAGTCGACAGACCAGTACATCCAGGAGATGCTGTTGTTGAAGTCGAGATTGGTGAATCCATTTTCGGACTACGAGCTGATTAAGATCATCAAGATAAATGTCAGGGACTCCATCTCGAGGGTGATTTACCCGATGCAGATTCCGAACCTGCAGAAACTGCGGGAAGAGTGTGCCGAGGCCGAGAAGCTGCTGGCGACCCGATGGGCAAGGATTGGTCCAGACTATGGGGGGAAGATCCCAAAGTGCATGAGGTGGAGGCGGCAAATCACGAGCCGGAGGAGCGGACAGAGGCACTAGAGGCCGTCTATAGGACGAAGGATCCGGGAGGTGACAGGGCACAATTGAAGTGTTGGAATTGTGCGCAGCCAGGACACACCTATTTTGAGTTTGAGTCAGAAGTGCGGAACATATTCTGCTACAAGTGTGGGTCTGCCGGAGTAATCCTCCCTAAATGTCCGAAATGTCGTCCGGGAAACTGGAGAAGGAGCACGATGCAACTGGAGGAGTCGCGTTCCACGAGCAACCAATAGTTCTGCCCTCCAACAACACAGTAGAATTACATACAGAGGACATACCTAAAATTAAGGATAATTATATACATAACGCAATATATAAAATAAACCAAGCGGTGTTACCTGAGGCGAGATGGTCCGAGCGTAAGCCGTTACAGGAAAGACGACAGCGATATAACCAGGCCAGAAGAAGAATACTGGGGGGCCAGGTGGCGGAAATAATCCTAACGAGGTAGACTAGAGCAAAGAGGGCTCGGAACCGGTTCCAGATACGCCAGAGGAAACGACGAGGCGTGTGTGCAGCAATCCGTTCTGCATTAAGCCGGGACGAGAGGCCGTTTGCGCACGTGAGACTGGGCCCGAAGACGCTGATGGGACTGCTCGATACGGGGGCATCAGTGAGCCTGCTGGGAAGAGGGGGATTAGAGATCATTGAGGAATTGAAGCTTAAGCTAAAAGACGTGAAAACAATATCGGTACAAACTGCGGGCGGCACACCTCATCAGATCCTAGGCCATGTGACGGTAGTGATGGCATACAAAGGCCAGAAGCACCCGATAGAGTTATTCTTGTGTCCGTCATTGAAGCAATCACTGTATCTGGGGGTCGATTTCTGGCGAAAGAGATCGAGGCAGAGCTGCTGACGAGAAGTAGGCCGACTGAACCTCATAATTTAACCCAGTCGCAGCAAGTACGCATGGAACAGGTGAAAGACAAATTTCGGTGCTTTGACAAGCACGGGATGGGAGGGACTCGCAATGGTCAAAGAAACACCGACTGACCCCGCCGAGGAGAGTGCCAACGTAGACGCGTGTAAGAAAAATTAGATCTGTCTGTTACACGCGAGAAAGTAGGTTTTTTTTTGTTAAATCCGTCCCCTGGCTATCGGGTCGAAAACACCCCTGACTTCCCCGAGAGCTAGCCGGGAACGATAGACCAGGGCGGCAAAAAGGCGGATCATAACAAAATCCATTTAAGGAAACGTGTGAAACAAATAAATCTTAAACTCCGTTAAAATAGCTGAAATAGTGCTTGGATTAGTGCTGATTTACAATACATTGAATAAAAACCCGAACTATCAGAATTAACCCGAACTAACGAAATCCTAAGTTTTACTTGGTCGGCTACCTCCCCATTTCCCGCTGAGTTAGCTAAGCCCAGGTCATACGGCCGGAAACAGGGTTCGTTACAACTGGCGCCCAACGTGGGGAGTCCCGACCAAAACATGTAAATAACGCAAGGAAAAGTGGTCTGATAGATTGGAGAGAGCATCATGGGAAAAGGACAATGGATCCACAACTTGAGGAAAGAGCATCTCGTACAATGCGCGCAGACGTTTGACGTACGGTTAGAGGGGACGCCGGACGAATTGAGAAAGGCATTTAAGGAGTGGGTTAAAGAATATGGCGAAGAGCCAGAGCATGCGGATCTGCTGGAGGCCTGTTAGTGTCACAACAAAACAAACCGCGTACGAGCAGCTAGGTCCGCCGCAAGGGAGGGCGGCGGCAGCGCTATGGAGGTCACCGGCTGAGTTTCAGCAGGAGTTCATCGCGAGCCTGGCGGTGCCCGAGCGGTCGGTCACTCCGACGCCCAGCCGGCATAGACAGGCGAGCAGATACATAAGCCGGGACTCGGAAAGGGGTTCCGTGAACCACAAGGCCCACGGCCAGCACACCTGGTCTACGCCAAGATGGCCAAACAGGGAGAGAGTGGTCATTCCGGTTCGACGGAACGACGAAGCCTCTCGAGTTTTTGGAGCAAGTCGAGTAGTCATCCGAAACGTACGGGTTGGATCCCTAAAGGGGCGGGCGCTGATGTGGAATGTGGCCAACAATCGGCAATGGAAGACATGGAAGCACTTCTCCAACAGCTTCCAAACGTATTTCCTGCCAAGAGGGTACTTGAGAAGCTGCTGCAGGAGGTGAGGATGCGGAAGCAAAGGTGGGAGAACCATTCAAAAACTATGTGGTGGACTGTCATGCGGCCCGTGAAATGCCCACAGGAGGAACAAACAGAATTGATCAGGGAGAACCTCATAGATGCCGCGATTTGGAATCGATGATGGCTTTGGCAGATGAGTTTAAGGCCCTAGAGAGAGATCGCGAGGAGTTCCAACGGGAGAATCCAGTCACGAGGGCACGAGCCGCAAATCCGTTTAGCAAGTCGACGGGAACAGTGTACGGAAGGGCCAACCACAACAGGAGGAGAAGAGGGGACACGGTCAGCGTTCCCGGTTCAGACGGCGGCTACGGCAGACCCGGAACAGGCGTGCAGAAGGATTGAGAGTGGGGATCATTGATCAAGAATGTGCCAAGCTCGGCCCCTCACATTTTGCTGGAGGTGCGGGAAGATTGGAGTCTCGACGTGGGAGTGCTTCCGGAAGGCGGGAAACGCCCCGCGACCCAAGCGTAGGGCCGTGCCAGGATCGCAAGAAACAGCCCCCACAACCTAGTCGGTGGACTGAGAAGCGAGGATGCCCAGCTGTCCGCCGCCGTGGCCATTGGAGGAACGGAATGGCAGGCAACGCTGGACACTGGAGCCACCAGAAGCTTCATCAGCTGGGAGTTGGCCTAAAAAGTAAAGGGCCGAGGAAGAGAGGTGGCAACGAGGTGGCGAGTGCGGCTGGCAGACGGCCACAGTCAGGATGTGACACGCCAACTCGAGGTGAAAGTGGCATTCGGGAACCAGGAGATAGAGATGGCGCTGCTGATTTTTCCAGGGGTCATAGATGAGTTGGTGTTGGGCTGGGATTTCGTCCGAGAGGTCGGGGCAGTGATGACCTGTGCGGGGCACAGGGTTGTGATTCCCACCTAAGATCGAGCGCGAAATGGCGCGGAGGAAAGGCAGTCAGTGACAATAGTGGAGCGGTCAGAAATCACGAAGGAGGAGGAAAAGATCCGAGCTAAAGCCGCGGGTTTAAGTCCGGTAGAAGCCAATACAAAGGAGGGCCGGGAAGAGTCGACCGTAGAGTTCTTGGCCTTTGAGTTGGAGGGATTTGCAAAACTCAAGGGAGTAACTAATGTGGCGGTGCATACGATCACCATGCGTGATCCGCAACCGATTAAACAGAAATACTACCCAACAAAGGCTAGGTAGGTCAACGCATTTACGGTGCCCGGCAAGGGGCTGTACCTGTGGAAGGTTATGCATTTCGGATTGCACTCCACGTCGGCCACCTTTCGTAAAAGCTCGTCTTGCAAACGGATGCTAGTGACTACGGATTGGGAGCGATTCTGGCGCAAGAAGAGGGGAGCGGGTTATCTCATATGCCAGTAGATCGCTGAATGGGGCGGAAAGGAACTACTCGGCTACCGAAAAGGAATGCCTCGCCATTGTCTGGGCCGCTAGAAAACTCAGGCCATACCTGGAAGGGTACCGCTTCAAGATGGTCACGGACCACATGGCCTTGAAGTCGTTAACTAGCATCGAGAGCCCAACGGGAAGAGTCGCGTGATAGGCACTGGAGCTACAGCAGTACGATTTCGAGGTAACGTACCGAAATGGACAGCTGAATGTTGTGGCGGACGCACTGCCCAGGCAGCCGGTGGCCGAGCGATGCCTGCGGGTGGAAGATGAAGAGTGCAATGAGGTGGAACCGGATGTCAGCGAAGGTTGCCTATGGATCAAAAAGGTGAAGGAGAAGATGAGGAGGGATCCGTAAAAATTCCCAGATTATATAGAGGAAGTTTTCGGAATCTACCGAAATATTCCCTACCGAGCCGGAGACGAGGACGAGGGGCGTGGAAGCTATGTGTCCCTAAGAATCTACGGGAACAGGTTCTAAGGAAGAATCAAGATTCCGCAGGGGCTGGGCATGCTGTCGGTCGGAAGACCATGACACGGATTGCCGCCCCGTACTACTGGCCAGGGATGCACCGGGATTCGCCAGATTCGGGCAGCTGGGAAAATGCTGACCCAGGTCCCAGAAGAACCATGGGCGACATGTGTGCGGACTTTGTGGGACCTCTGCCGAGATCGAAGCATGGAAACGCAATGCTGTTGGTATTGGTCGTTGAGAAAGGCCACGGCGGAAGCGTTGGTGAAGGCAGTCCGTGAAAGGATATTGGCTCGATTTGGAGTGCCCAAGGTGATGATAACGGTGTCCAATTTACGAGCCGCGTGTTCAAGAAGTGGAGCAAATGGGGGTCAGACAACACCAATCGAACGGTGAAGACGATGATCGCACAGTTCACAGAGGGTGATTAGCGATGCTGGAATGAGAAATGGCCAAAGCTTATGCTAGCGGTGAATACAGCTGTAGCAGAGTCAACGGGTTATTCTCCGCCCTACAAAGGAAGAGAACCCCGACTGCCAAGGTGCTGTACGACGATGGAGCCCTAGGAACAGGACAAGAGCCGCGAACGCCCGAGGAGAATGCATCCAAACTGAGGGAAATATTCCAGTTGGTGCGACGCAATCTGGAGAGGGCGGCCCAGGATCAGGCAAGGCACTATAACCTGAGGAGACGAGAGTGGAAGTCCCAGATAGAAGAGGTTGTATGGGTACGGAAGCACCATCTATCTAACGCGGCGGAGGGATTTGCGGCTAAGTTGGCACCGAGGTATGCCGGGCCGTATCGGATTGTCGACTTTAAGTCTCGGGTGACAGCGATGGGCATAGTCGATGCCTACTTGGTGGACCTGAATCCGCAGCCGAAGGAGGGGTGAAAGAAAAGCAGCCATATACTAGTGGAAAGACAGCCAAAAATTCTGGAAAGGCCCAGAAGAGCATCACCAAGAACGAAAAAAGGTAGAAAACTGAGACGGACCCTCCACCAAGACACAGCTGTAAATAATGGCGATTTCAGAATGTTGAAATCAGACGAGGTCATGCCAACGAGCACAGCTAGCGGGTACCACGCAGAAAGGGAAGCAGAAATTGAAAGAGTCACGAAAAAGGAAATCTGACATAATCGAAAAAGAGAAGACGGCAGTCCCAAAAAGAGTCAATGAATAAACGGAGATAAAAAGGGTCATCAAGCGGTATGAAAGAAACAAAGGAAATGGGAGTCGGTAGAAAGGGATCATAACGACGGGTACACGGTAAAAAGGGATCCACTATATACCAAACTTACCAGGCCGGGGGATCCGAGTAGCACCGAAGGGGCAGCGAAGTGGGAAACATTCTGGAAAAGGGAGAATTAAAACACATTAACAACAAAAAAACAAATTATATCCAGTCATTTGGATTTAACTAAGCACGGGGAAAAGTGGTTTTCGTGAAATGGTTTAAACCAAAAATTGGTACATCACCGATGCACCGTTAGCATTAACAAGTGGGAGTGCAACGAGGACATAATAGGGGAGGTTATGGTCCGGACCAGCACTTGCGAAACACACGCGGTAAGGGCACAATCACTTTCATTTTTGGAAGAGCAGGAGGAACAGCTGCGCCGCGGGGACTACGACGTCGACATTTACCGTCAGCATGGGGCGTCAATGCCCATGCGTGGAGACGAGTGCGGTCGCCGAAGTAGTTCTTCTGTGTTTCAGCTGTTGGCGTTGCCGTTGGTCTCGCCAGTGCCGGTGTCAGCCGGATTCCCAGCGCCGTCGGCATGCTAGTCGGTCAGCCCAGTGGAGTCGCCGGTGGTCAGCGAGAGCGAGGATGACCTCATCCT